AATACTGGTATTATAAATAAATTATTGAACAAATAAATAAATAAATGGAAAGTAACAGAGAAACCTCTTCTGCAGAACTCCAAAGAATCTAGATATACAGCCTTTCAGGAGGTGGTGCAAACCCCACACTCATTTAGTGTGGCTGCACACTTCCTTTCAAAGAGACAGTATAGAAAGAGGAAAAAATATGTTCACAGTGGAGAAACCTGACAAAAGCTACCTCAGCCATGGTCAAGGTCAATACCAGCAGTGATAAGTAATGTGGAGAGTACTGATGTAATGGAACAAACTTGACGAGTTGCTTTGTGGCCTGGATCCCAAAAAGAAGTAAGCTTAGTAAAATCATGAAAACTCAGGCAAATCTCACTGAAGGACCACCTACCAAAAAAACCTAGTAGTATTCTTAAAAACTAGAGGTGATCAAAAATGACAAAGATCTGAGAAACTATCCTGGTCAAGAGCTTCTTAAGGACACCTGATGACTAAATGTAATGCGGTGACCTGGAAGAGATCCTGGGACAGAAAAAGGACATTCAGTAAAAATTAAGGAAATCTAAGTACAGCATCGACTGTAGTTAGCAAGGACTTATTAGTATTGGCTCACCAATTGTAATGAATGCACCACATGGACATAACAGGAGAAATTGACTATGGGATGTATAGGAACTCTACTCTTTTCGTAATTGTTTTCTAAAGCTTTTCTTTTTAAAATTAATTTTATTGGTACCTTTTAGGTATATGGTGTAATGACATTCATCATTGGAGATTTGTACCTTTACGTGACATATCTTGATTCTTATTTTTTCCCCATTCCTGTGCCCTGCCTTCAACCCCTCCACCGCTCTCTATTTACAAAGACTTTGTTTCCATTTATTCACTTTCCCATATTCATTCCCTTCCTTCCTTCCTGGTTCCCTACCCCATTTCCACTTCCCCTCCCCCTTTGCCCCTTTTCTTCCTATTTCATATTATTTATTATACATTTTGAACCTTATTTACATTTTCAGATTCTCATGCCAGAGAAACTATTTGGTATTTACACATGTGTGTCCTATTTATTTCACTTAAGATTTTGGCCTCAAT